ACATGACATGTGTCGTAGACAAAATGGCTTCATGTCTACGTGGAAATGCAGGCCAGCTGTATAATGTCTGCAATATTCTCCACTTTCAGACAGATGCTGTTAACGTGGGCAGTGTTTGAACTACATCCCTCAATGTCCTTTTTTTTTTGGAATTTTCAACCTCTTTATTTTTAAATCTTGTTTTTTTAAGCAAAGCCAATCATTAGCATTATTTGTAATGAGTATTATAAAGAAAAATATTTTATTGATGTATAATTATTATCATTTGATTTATTGATTGATTAAGTTGAATTATGTACTATAAAAATTTAAGATAAAGTATATAAATGATCTCGATTATAAAGTTCTATTATATTAAGTTTTTTGACTATTAAAAATTATAAAATAATCTCTCAACTATAGAACGTTACTTTGTTAAGTCACTTATTATTAAAAATTAAAAATGATAACCTAATTATTCATATGTTCAAAATTCATCTTTTTTTTATTAAAAAGTTGGCAGTCGTTTGAGTTGTACGTTAATATATCGACTGAATATGATAAAATCTAATCTCAAAGCTGTTTGAGTTGCATTTTGTAGATCGATTATTCGTTTACATTATGTTGTCAAGTATGTACTTGAAATATTATGTCGTCGAGCCAGTGTTTGAAAATAATGTTTGTGTCATTAGGCATTATTAAAATATAGTTTTATCATTACCGAATCAACAAGTTAATATCCAGCTCAACGATCGTCAATTTTTACAAAAAAAAATGACGAGTTTGACACATACGAATAGCTGAATAATCATTTTGTATTTTTTAACAATAATGGACGCAACAAAATAAAGTCATATAGTTATAGAACCATTTTTTTAACTTTTAATTGTTGATAAATTAAACAAAACAATACTCTATAATTAGGGTCTTTAATATTTTTACCTAAAAATTATTATGGATAACCTTTTAACTTAATTTATTTTATTCATTACATCGAAATAAATCTAATACTTTATCCTTTAAATAACTGATAACTAATAGTTATTCAAAGTCATCAATAAAATTACAATATAATTTCTTTAAATCAAAATCAAAATGATTATATTATTTGAATCAATTAGTCATTGGAAACAAGCAAAGATCATTTCAATGTGTACAACTTGATATAGAACTTCTATTCTAAATTTTACATTACACAACCTTCAGCTCTAAGAAACCAACAAAAGAAGTAAAGTTTCCGTTTTTTTGTTGATTTTCTCCCTTTTGTTTTTTATGCAGTGAAAAGTATAAAACTCTTGATATTTCTTTATGGGATATGATTCAATTATATAATAAAATTCATTAAATTTATTAAATGATTACAAAATAATCATCGTGATGTTATAATGATTTTAATTATATCGATAAATAAAGAAATAATATGAATTATATGTAACTACTAACAAATAAATAGTAAAAAAACAAACAAAAACAAATGTCAAGGTAACGTGTGATGGGTGTTATATTAAAAGAGTGTTCGAAAGTAGAAATAAATGCGATTAAGATAGTCCATGTGATGTGTGTGGGTCTAAATCTTAATCTTAGCTGTATTATCATTTGGCATGTTAGTGGTCACGTTCAATTGTATACTTTCAATCTCTATCCAAATCATTCTTCGTGATTTGGACTTATTCTATATGCAGTTTTTATTTATTTTTTACAACCTCTATTATTTAATCAAAAATTGACTCGATAATCATATGATCGAGTAATTAAACTAATATATATACACCAATAATCGCACTATAAAAAAAAATCAAAATACGGAAATTTACGATAACAACACATGTACTTTACACGTCATGTACATATAATCCCTTATAATGGTAAAAACAACAGATTAGGTAAAATAAAAGGTAAATATTTGAGAATTGTGCCTAGTTGAACATGATGAAATACATCTCTATCAATAAGATATAGAAGAAGTGGTGGGTTTGGGTTTGATACAATACGCGTTGGGCTTGGATATATGGTTGATAATGGACGAGTGGAGTTGGGTTAAGTTATAGCATAAATGGTCTGGTCTTAGAATCTTGTTTTAAAATTTTCTAAATATTGTTAAAAATTGGGTAAATTCACGTTTAGTACCTGCTCAATTAATTTATTTCATTTTAGTACAAAAGCTTTACTTTTTTTTTTCAAAATTATACTTGATGTTTAGTTTAAGTTTCATTTTGGTATCTTACCGTTAAAAACTTAACGATAATGTTGATATGTCACCATAAGGTAATGTCATGTCATAATTGAAAAGACTAAAAAAATATCATGTTAAATGTTCTGATAATTTTTTAACAGATGTGTACCAAATTGAAACTCAAACTAAATGTTAGGAATGATTTAAAAAAAACAAAGTTTAGAAACTAAAACGGGATAAAAGTAATAGTTTATGTACTAAATGTGTAATTTATCCTAAGAATTACAAAAACTATTAAGTATCTCACTCTTTAAGTTTTTTACCGGTATTTTGATGTTCATTAGTTAAATGGTTTTCAATCATATTCGAAGTTTTTATGACCATGACAAATGGAATGAACATTTTGTATAAAATAGTCATTCGACTATATTAAGTTTTAAAATTGTTTTTTTTTCCAATTAACAATAATCTGAATATGCTAATTGAAATATGATAATAATCTGATCTCATAATCGTTTAGTTCAAATGATCATTAAATTTTTAACGAAAAATATATTTAAAACATAATAAATAGTTAGATAACAATTTATGTACTTTACCAAAAATAAATACGTATGACTTATTAAAAACTCTAAAATCTATTCACTGTGATCATGACAATTGTTTAAAAGTTTGCAGTCGAATATTAATTAATCATTTTAAATTATTATAATTTTTCATTTAGAATTGATAATTGCGTCTTTATATGTCATCAAAAGTAAAGAATATCTAATAATAAAAAGTTTAACGTCTTTAAACAAAATTTAAAATTTGAATATAATTTTAATTTCGATCACGATTAAAATTAGGGACGGCATGGGTTGGGTAGAGTCGGATTTTCAGTCAACATGACCCGAATTGAAAAATATAGATCCTCCACCCGACCGACTCGAAAAATATACGCCCTCCACCCGATCTGAATTCGACCAGAATTTTTGAGATAAAATCTGAACCTAACCTGACCAGACCTATAATAATATATTTATTAAAATATATAAAGTAAAATTATATGTTTTCGGGTCGGGTCAGATCGGGTATTGTTCACCCTAAACCAGAATCCGATTCAACCTGAACATAACATCTAAAAAATTCGACCCAGTCCTAATTTTTTTAATAAAAAAAGAAAAAAAAAATTAATCTGATCAAGTTGAATTGGGTCGGGATCCGTTGGATACAAGTCTCATATCCATCCCTAATTAAAACTCATTTAGCGAATATCAAAGATGTATGAAGAAAAGTTTAAAGAGTAAAAAACTTTTTTTCTTTTTACAGTTTTTTACAAATTCTTATACTTTTTGAATATTTTATAATTTGTTATATTTTTATGTACTTTGAATTTTTAAGGTATCTTAAAAATAACTTGAATACTATAAAATAAAGTTTAGTTATATTCTCGATATCTCAAGATTTTATCATGATTAATCTAAATAGACTTATGTTTCATATCTGATTTTGACAAATAAATCTTTCGACGGAATTTTCTATATACGCAAAATCTCAAACTCAAAATATATTTAGTCAATATCACACTACTTATCACTTAAACTAATATCATTTTTTTAATTGGTAAAGGAGGCCCATAGTCAAGGGGGCAAAACATTTTGTTAATTGTCACGCGTTTAGTAGCACAAGATTTTCTAGTTCTATGTTCACCGTTTCCTCCCACAAGGTCGAAACGCCGTGTTTCCCACTCTGCTACGCCTACGCGTTTAACAAATGGATATCCATCCACACGTGCACATATTATAAACGATGCCAAATTCCAAGGCAGCAAAGAAAATTTTGTTTGCGCGTTTGGGACGCGTTAGGTGCATGCAAATGTGAAAAATGTAAAAACCAATTAAATTACTGTCCAAATTGTTAAAAGAATCTCGATTAAATAAATTATAAATTTCTCATCAGTTTTTTCTCATTTTTTTCATCAGAGTATAATTTTTTAATATTTGATTTACTTCTATTTTATTAACTTGATCGTTAAATTAAAAATAGAAGAGTGATATGACAGTCACATGTGCTGATATTGATTAATTTATATAAAATGGCATTCATGTGTCACCCACTTTGTTTTCTTTTAATTTTTATTTCATCTTTTTACTTCAATGATAAAATTTTACAATTTAATCCTTGTGTCATGCCAACGTTAAAATCATCATTCTTTAATATCTTCTCCGACCTCTCAAGACTCCAATGAATTTGTCTCATTGTCTTTTACTATTATATCAATTTAATTTTCTTTTCAAAATCACTCATTCTGTATTTAACGGTTGAGTAACCAAATAGAAACAAATAAAAAATTTAGTGAATAAATTAATATTTTTTAAAATTTTAGTGATCACAATAAAAATAAAAATATTAAACAATTTAATTCATAATTAAATAAATTAATCTTTATTTTAAAATGAATTCTCTTATAATTATTTTTATCCACAAAATTTATTATTTATCCGGGTAGTGTTTATACCGATTATACAATATTTGAACAGATAAATGAAAATTTGAAATAGCTGATCACATGGCTAGACCTGGACCGACATCTAGAGTGAGTGCATTGACGGGTTTTTGCGTCAAAATATTAAATTTATTCTATAATCCGCCAACATTATCTTACCCCTTCTAGATTTTCAAATTGGATTTATCAAATTCAAAGGTCAAATATTCAAACACCTTTTCTCATTCTTCTTTTCAAAATTTCTAATATTTTCTTAAGGTCGTAAACCATGTCGTATGTCATCTTCATCATCATCATACATACATACATATATATATATGCTAAATTGCTCAATCAAATTTCAAATCCATTCGACAAAGCTCTATGAACCACCATTTTTTTCTCAGATGATGATTTCTTCCTGGAGAAAGAGAATAGCAGCAAAGCGTGCAGGGAAAGAGCAGCAAAGGAACGGAAATGGCGAAATGGAGCTAATGATCCCAAGAGATTTCAGGTGTCCTATATCGCTAGACTTGAAGAACGATCCGGTCACGTTGTCTTCGGGGATAACGTACGATCGAGAGAGCATCGAGAAGTCAAGGAAAACAATGTTCCCTCTCGATGGAGAAGCCAAGGGTTACTTACGCTCAGTCTCGGCAATGCATTGTTTGATATGGTTTTTAAGCAGCGGAGACTTATCTAGGCGAAGAAATTCAGTTTTGGCCTTAAAGGAGCTCGTTTCATCAATGGAAGATCAAAGAAAAACACTGAGTTTATTATCAGAGATCGAAGGTTCCATCGAACCATTGTTCAAGCTTATCAAAAACCCAATCTGCTCAACATCAACAAAAGCATCATTAACCATCATTTACCATATGATCACATCGTCTTCAACCTCGAGTTCAACAAGGCAAAAACAAGTTACCAAACTCGTAAACCTAGGCATAGTCCCATTGCTCCTAGAAACACTCGTGGACGCCGAAAGGACGATGTGCGAGAAAGCCTTGGGTGTTCTCGACGGCATCGTCAACAACGAACAAGGCAGGGAAATGGCCCGTGACAATGCGCTGACGATGCCGGTTTTGGTTAAGAAAATCCTCAGAGTTTCGAACTCGGCAACTGAGTTCTCTGTCTCCATTTTGCATAAGCTTTGCAAGACCGAGAAACGTGAAGATGGTGGAGTACTTGTTGAAGCTCTTCAAGTGGGTGCTTTTCAAAAACTTCTGCTGCTAATGCAGCTTGGGTGTGTGGAGAAGACGAAGGAGAGGGTTTCGGAGTTGTTGAAAATGCTGAATCTTCATAGAAACAAAGTAGAATGTGTTGATCCAATGGACAATTTCAGAGATCTCAAAAGACCTTTTTAAGGAAAATGTCATAATTTTTGTAGACATCATAACAATTAATTCAATGTACAAAAACATAGATGATAGATTAAAAGTGTATACCCTATAGTTTTCGACCTAATTGGATACTTAAACTATCATTGTTACGACAAATAATGTCAGCATAAAAATATCACGTAAATTAAAAGCTACCTGTTTATGTTCCATTAATTGATAATTGTTCAAAGTGATTATTGAGCCACTTTCTTAATTTTAACTAAGTCTTAAGCTATGAATATAAATATTTGTTTCTGAATAGTTTATGTGATTATAAAATAATATTTGTTTAAATTTTTTTAATCAATGATGATATACTGATGGGTCAACTTAATATTTTTTAAGTATATTATATATAAATATAAATTTTTAAAAATAATAGTATATATAAATTAATGAAAAATTTTATAAACAAATCTATAAGTGAACTAATGAACGAATTTGTTTAGTTTTTTTATTAAGTTAAAAATAATTACAAAGTAATATATGTTCTAAATAATCTTAACTATTTAATAATAAACGTTCAATCTGGCACTAAGTAATTTTGTTCGTGCATAAACAAATATGTTTATAAACGATGATAACAATAATAATCAACCATCTGTTTTTTTATTTGAAATACTATTATAAAATTGTTACGTGTGAGAATCTGATTGGTTATGTGCCGTCAATAGCTCATGGGGTGAAAACATCATCGAGCACATTTCCTTGAAAGTTGAAACCAAATGAACAGCCAAAATCTTGAGTTCCCACTAGTTGTAGCACCCCACTTTGACCATTCATGTAACAACAAATCAAATCAAAACAAACAAGTAAGTTAAAACGAAATCCGAATTTCAATCTTCGTTGCATATATAATTTGCTTATTTAATTTTCTAGATTTCTCTCAAATAAGTAATACAGATTGCGTAAAGCTTTTTTTTTTTTTGTTTCTTCTAATTTTAGTTTTTGCTTCCCAGATATCAGCTTAATATATCACATGATTCGCGGGCAAGGAACAATCAAACTCTACGTGGTCTACAATGTGTTGGAGGTGAGAACAAACAGCTTAACCTAAGAACTATGAATGCATTTAAGAAGTTCATATCAGACGCTGAATATTTACATGAACAAAGCTGTGGACTGTCTGAGATTTTGGTGCTTCATGGATTTAGATTTTGATCTTTGACTAGTGATGCTAGATCCTAACAGACTCAACGTGTTTACAATGTGACACCTCGGTGGTGTCAATGATTGAAGTTCAAATTAATTTTTCTAATGTAAGGAGACACCAACTTTAGGCAACTGAGTGCCAGGTTTCTAGATGGGTAAATATTCTTTAACTTATATATTGAAAATGAGAAATTTAAGCTCCCAACCTCTTAATCATTAAACTTGATAAGTGAATTTTACTTAAACAATTGCCTATTATATCTAATAGCCTGTAATTAGAATAGTGCTATTTAACAATGTCCTTTAAAGTTGTGACTTAGGAAATTTCTCTTCTGAAGGAAAAACATAACTTTTAAGTGAAGAATATCTCAAAGAAAAGGATTAAGGCCGTGGATTTGGAGTAGTTAGTATGTCTTCTTATGCTTAAAATAAGTTATTTTCGTTTGGAGGACATTAAATATTAGATAGTCTTTTAGGGATATTTTTGGATTAGTGAAATTGGTGGTTTCATTATTTTATACCTCTGTTGTAGAATCTTTTTCTACCGCAATAAACTGGTGTGTGTGTGTGCGCGCTTTTATCTTCCATGTTGATTCCACTGAACTTTGTATACTTTGGCTGGTATTATTGCTGAATTTTGTATAACATACTTGTGTCCATATGCAGATATTTGTTAAATTATGTCAAAGTTTTGGTGGAGATGTATTTCAAGCCCTGTTTAATTCTGCAGAAGGACTAGCTTCCAGCTCCCGGAAAACATGAGATTCTGGATCCGTAGGACCGTAGATTTGTTTCTGACCAAGCATTGGCTATGGCTTTCTCAGATATCCTTATATTTAAGCAATGTTCTCCCTCCCTCCCTCTCTCTTTTCCTACGTCCGCCCCCTTCCGCTTGTTAAATATTCTTGTTTCATTTGTTTCTTTGAGTGTCATTACTTCTTCATTCTTTTATTTTACTAGCTCAGGCAATTACTTTATCAAATTGCATTGTCGCTCATAATAATGCTCTATTTGCTTTGCTGGTATCCAATAACTTTTCTGAGACAAGAAGGAATGTCTTTACGCGCTTTAGCAAGGATAACATCCACAGTCTCGCATACGCAGGTGAATTGCTCCTTTATACATTTCATTCTATGGTGTTTGCGACTGCCTATTGACTTTTTGGATACTTGCTGAATTTAAAGTGCAAAAGGAGCCATCACTGTAACATTTCCCAGATAATGATTTTTATACAGTTGATATTTTCCTGTTATGTTTTATACTGCCGTACTGATGGAAACATTAGTTAGAAGGGACAAGGAATGACAATACATATATCAGTTAATGTGTAAGAATCAACTTGGGCAAATACCAATACCACACATGAACTCATGGAAAATTATCATTAGAAACATATTATATCTACATTGTTTGTCCACGTCTCCTTTTGGTGTATTGCTAATTGTTTTGGTCATTTTGATCTAATTTAAACTATTGAATTATTTTACCTCTCAGATTCAATAGAGCGTTTCCACATTTCAGCATTTCTCTTATCTGTATTAGCTCTAAATATCTTGGAAGCTCCGAGTCCTTGGTTTGAAAATTTTATTTTTGTAAGTACACCATAAAAAAATCATGGCATTTCTCTTATTTCGTGTATGGACTCTGCAGGACACGTTTTTGGTTTTCATCTGTGAAATGCTAATCTATATCATAAACATTCATTCATTGCCAACTTCAATGGTATAAAGCCCATTGAATACTCTGAATTTCTGAAGATCTGTGCAAGCATTTATATGCTTCTGTAATTGATGTATCCTTGATAATTCTTCCTGAACCCTATTATTTTATGAACAAAAGTTATTATTGTATGCCATTTATTCTTTCTGTTATTTAGCTGTTTTATTTACAGAAAACAATAGCTTTTTAAACTTGTTTATGTATTATTAACTTTGAAAGTAACACAACGCCATTTTCAGACTTTAAATATGCAAACTGAAGATAGCAAGAAAAATCTCACTTTTGTTCCTCTTGCTCCAGCGTGTGTGGTAAGAACCTGTTAATACTTTGTTCAGTTGTTTTCTTTTGTGATTTGCCAATGCTATGGGGAAAAAACTGACAGATAAGCATCAGCTATATACACTTCAATTGAAGTTGAAGTGATAAGATCCTGGCTTTGTTGGAAGGTACTTATATGCTAGGCAGTAGAGTGCGAAGGAAAAGTTCGAAATTTACCTTTTTAAAAAAAAAAAAAAGTTCAGTTTCTGGTTAACCATCATCTCTATGTTGAATTTCTTGCAAGTATTTCAAAGTACGTACTTAATTTGCTATTTTTCTGTTTGGTTTAAGGTCATTCGAGTGCGGACTCCGTTATATGCTGCTCACCTCCCGTACAGTCACTTGTCGTGGAGACTCTTTTGGATACTGTTCTTGATTTCAGTGACCTATGTCATGCTTACAAGCCTAAAAGTGATGGTTGGCATGGGCCTACAAAAACATGCAACTTGGTATTTCAATAGGTGTCGTAAAAGAAAACACCATCTTCACTTCGATTGATTCGAAACAATAAAGGTGAATATCATCAAAAAGTTATGTTGCATTACTTTTATGGTTCTTATTATCCACATGGCGATGAATTTTTTCGTGAATCAGGTAGCAGGATGCAACATAGATCGGAGATACGGCAGTCGAGTCCGAAAGAGCATATCGTCTAGTCTTGATACAGGGGATTTACACGTAGCCGGGTCTTCAATTTCCCCCTCCAATTTTGTAGAGAAGATGATCAAATTGTTGGCTTGGGAGAGTTATAGCACTTCACGCAAAGGTTTAAGTATTCTTATCCCCCCCTGGTGCGTTGCTTTTATCTACATTTCGTTTGAGTATTCAAAAAATGTGTTCGACTTGTGAAAGTTGAAACAAAAATAATTTTAATGTGCTTTTATGCTAATGATTTATGGTATCATCCCCTGTTCTTTTGACCGAGTCTTGTGTGATCACAATGATAAATTACATTATTTGGACTCTGATGAGAATGTCGAATACGACTACTTAGCTTTAATTGTTAGGTATATTCGTCTTTTTTAATTATTTTGACTCTGGTGCATGTGGGTGCACGTGCGTGTGTGTGAAGGAAATTAGGGAGAGTTAGCTTGGTTAGGGTTGTACTTGTCTATTATAATTATGCATATTTGTATCATATTTTTGGTATCATAATTATATTTATGTTTTATATTGTATATAAATTTTGATCTTAGTATGTTCGGGGATGGAGTTCGGATATCAGTTCAACGAGTAAAATATGATTAATCATAGAAAATAAAGATAAAATCAAAATAATTAAATTAAAACTATAAGGTCTAGTTTGATATTTATCCATGTATATTTTTAAATTATAAGGAGACAATGACCTCCCCTGGACGAATCCCTGATTAAGTTCGTTTTATTTTTTATTATGTCTTAATATATATATTTAATATCTATATGGTCTTTTCACTTATGTTTGATCACGTGGATTTCCCAAGGTAAGTAAAGAGTGAGCAATGCTGTCTAATGTTGACAAAGCTCATGCAGTGTGCATTAAATCTATAACTTGGAAGGATTGTGGGAATCATATGTTCAAAGTGGTCCTAGAATTTACAAAGTAAATATTATAGCAGGCTCCATCTATTATTAGCCAGGTGCTTGCAATGGCAGTTGATTTGACAACAGTGACTTCGTGGAAGTAACGAATAGGACCAGATTTTCATCTTGCTAGGGGACCCTTAACATTTTCTAGATATTGATGCTAAATACCAATATCGGCCGACGAGTTGATGTGAACCAATATTTGGTACTTTATATTATAATCTTTCATACATATACTTTTATCAAAACCTAATTAATTATATATAAAAACTTTAAAAATATTCTTATAATTATTTAAAGATATGACAAATTCTTAATTCGATCCTGATTAGATTAGACTTAGAAAACCATACCCAGAACTTGAATTTGATTAAGCAATGTGCACAATCATGCATCAAAACGTAACTGTAGTCGAATTGTAATAAAAGAAGAGAATACAGCTTCCATGACACCTAAACATGAAGAAGAAGCAAAAAGGAAAATGATTAAGCATCTTTTTATAAAAAAAAAAATAGCCTTTGAAGTTAATTGAACAGCTTTTATGCTCATGTGATTTTGTTCTCTATCAATTGATTTTTGCACACGTTTATATTGATCTTTTCACTATTATAACCATAAAAGCTCGATCATATTTGGTACAAATTTGGATAACATGGTATATGCTTAATTAGACAAAAGATAAAGTTGAAATTTATTAATTGGTTAAGCGGTCAAAAATTTTATGTTGTTTCATTTTGCGTGGGTTTAAATATTGACATTTACCTTAAAAATATAATATCTCTCTACTTAATAAATAAAATAAAATAAAACAACAAATATAGGTTTGGCTTAAGTTATGAACTATCAAAATAAGTTATTGACATACAGCCAACCTCCCATGAACACAAATCCTTGATTAGGGATGACAACGGGTCGGGTTTGAGCCGGATATTGGTCCCCCGTCCCCGTTTCCGTTTAAAAAATTTGTATCCGTCCCCGCTTAAAAAATTGCGGGGATTTAAACGGGGATCCCCATCGGGTAATCGGGGAAAATCGCGAGGAAACAGGTATCCCCGTTTAGCATAAACGGTTATTTAAATGGGTATCGGGTCGGGTATATATATTTAAATTAAATATATAAATATTATATATTTTTTTTTAAATTTAAATTAAATTTATTAATATTATATATATATATATAATTTATTTTTAATATTTATCGGGCCGATAATCGGGGCGGAGATTACCAAACCTGTCCCCATCCCCGTTTAACATAAACGGTTTTTTCCCGTCTCCGTCCCCGTTTAGCATAAACAATTTTTCTCCGTCCCCGTTTAATTCGATTTTCGATTTTCCCCGTCGGGTTTGGGTTTTTTTTGCCATCCCTATCCTTGATCTTAATTTAAATAGTGATGAATATGTTTAGTTAAAGAAAATTCTAAATAAACAACTAAACAAATCATCACAATTTGACAAAAATACTAACTTTACTCCACAATTTTAGGGTTTGAAATACATTGGTTTCAAGAAAGATTTGATTTTTTTAAAGAATAAAAACAAATATGTCAACTCTTAGATTTGCATTTTCAGAATTTTGGAGCAAATATAATTTTTTTTCCTTTATATGAATTGGACAGCCTTCATCTTTGTACCTTTATTGCAAATAAAGGAAGCCCTTTTTATTTATTATGATACGCCTACTAAAAGTCAATTTCCTCCTTGTTTTCAATGTATCTCCATCCTTTCAAAGGACACAAGTGTCATTTTACTTTGACTTGATTTAGAGTTTCTTTTTATGTTGTTTAGGAATATTTCATTCTTGACTTTTGTTATATAAAAAAAGTCTATTATGAATATGTTAATCTTACTAAATTGCATAAATTATTAGTAAACTATGTTGAAATAATTATTCTGGTTATTAAATTTTAAAAATTATGAAATGTCATGATTTTTTTATCATTTTTACAAAATTATAACATCCATTATTAGTAAACTATGTTGAAATAATTATTCTGGTTATTAAATTTTAAAAATTATGAAATATCATATATTTTTTATCATTTTTACAAAAATGATAACTGGATGTTATAGATAACAAAAAAATTTGATAAGCATAACAATTATATTGTAACAATTTGATAAGTCAGTTGATCATTGTGTGTCAATTTAATAAAGTATAATGATCATTTTATAATAATTCAATAAGTTGTATAATATTTTTATAACTTTTGAAAATTCAACGATAAAAAAGATCATCTTTAACATAGTTCAACAACGATTTATTTCTTTTACTCTAATAATTTTTAGGTGGAACTCGATATTGAGAACTAATAATTTTAATAAGTATAAAATTGAGTTAAATTCAGATAATATGTATAATAAAAAATAATTTATTAAAAAATAAATAATTATACTAATTGTATATATTATTATAAATAATATGTTAATGAATTTTAAAAGATCTCAGTAACCAAAACAATTAAGAGCTAACCTAATCGAGGATATGAAGACAAATAAAAAGTCTCTTTATATCTCAAAATAAATTAAGAACTTCACTTTCTTTTTGTAAATGGTGAATGTTTATGATTTCTTAGAATAGGAAAAAATTAATTGAGAAATTATTTTATTTTTTATTCAAAAAAATGATGGTGAAAAATTAATTATAACGACAATAACAAATATTTTTCAGTTTTATTCAAGTAATGTTAGTTAATAGTTTAAAAGAAAAATTAGCCCAATTATCCTAAAGGTGAGGTGAGCGCTGGAATCATGTCTCCTCTTCTAATTAAAAAAAGTACTTTTTTTAATTGAAAGAAGCCTAAAACATTAGGTTATGCGCGTATAGTCTCATCAGTTTGCTGCATAACAGCAGCGTCTAAAGCTAGGAGGTCTGTTAACTCATCCGGGGGAATCAAAATGAACCAAGTTGTAGTGTTGTTGTGAAGATAGCTTTGCCATCCTATCGACAATCTTGTTTCCATTCCTGCTAATCCATTGGATTTTTGTCACCCAGCATCCCGACTGTCGAAGCTTTAGAATTGCGTGAAGCAACGGAATATGGCTATCGATTGATCTACTTTCTCCTACCAATTTGACTGCTCTGCTGCAGTCA